GCTCTGGTCATGACGGTGACCGTCGGTGAGTCCTGGACGTGCGGGCTGGTTGGGCGAGGCCCGTGTCACCCTCGGCCTCATCTCAGCAGGAGGTGTGGCTATACGGGCACTGCCTGGCCTCCACCGTAGGCTGCGGCTCGGGTTCCCTGCTCCAGTGGACCCAGGGGCAGAACTGGCGTATGGGGCTGGAAGGGCTTGGCTGGGACATGTGTGGATAGTCTGCGGAGGGGAGGCCGGGACAGGCCAAGACCCTGGGCACCCGATGGACTCGCAGACCCTTGGCCTGCCCACGTCACCAGGACGGGCGCTGTGTCTACAGCAGAAGGCTGCCCTGTACTGTGGAGGCAGCATGACCGGCCAGGGGCGGCCCAGGGCCTGTCGCCCACCGTGGAGGCCCAGGTCTGCTGCCCACAGCGCCGTCTTCGCCCACCCTCTGGCCCACACTGTAAGGTGGAGCGGACCTGCGAGCTGGGCTTTGGGTGTGCTGGGGCGGGCAGTCGGGAGAGGCTCAAGGCAGCCCCCGCTCGCCCCCCAGTGGCTGTCACCCTCACTGCAGGGCCTCGCTCACAGATGGCGCTTTCCCTGGGCTGGTCAGGGATGCGGCCACTGCAGTGACGGTCCCCACGGGAAGCCTGGGCAATGGAAGGCTGGCCGTCTGCACCAGGCACTGGAGGACACGCTGGGATGGACAGACAGCCTGGGAGGTGCAGACAGCTTGTGTGGCTTCAGCTCACATGGTGGCAAGGAGGGGTCACACAGGAGGCCATGCAGGGACCAGGATGACGGTGAGGCTGGGCACCAGCTTCGTCCGGCCCGCACCGGGCAGGGCTCCCTGAGAGCGCGGCAGCCTCGCGCTAGCCCCTAGATCAACACGGCCACACGTCTCTGAGGACGGTCACGTGTGCTCCTGGGAGCTGCACCAGGCCCCAGAAAAGCGGGGCTCAGGGCTCCCGGGGGCCATGGCTCTCCGCCGGCACTTCAGGGCAGCAGTGTGGGTGACCCGCGGGGGCAGTGAGAGGGCAGGCAGCTGGCCTCGGAGCCCCGCGCTCACCTCTGGGAACACAGGGGCTGCGCACACCATGGCTGCGTGAGGACCGTGGGGGTCAGAGGCCCCAGGCCCCGGCGTGGAGCCTCACCCAGACATGCCCGTTCACGTGGCTGCCCTGGCTCCCGGCTGGCCGCCTCCTGGCCTTACTGAGCCTGGGGACCTGGCCAGGCCAACACTGCCGCTGTGTCCCTCAGCAGATGGCAGAGGCACGGACACCTCGCACCTCCTTCCCCTGCTGCTCACCACCTGGCACCGGCTCGTGGCACCAGGCCTGGTGTGGCCGGAGCCGTCCTCAGCCCTCCACGAGTGACTACCGGCTGAAGAGGAGTAGCTGACGCTGAGGTGGCCGGGACAAGAGGACGAGGCTCGGTCCTGGCCCGTCCCGCACTCGGTGCTGGGAGGCCTCTCCAGCACAGGACTGTGAGGGCTCCTGGCAGTGACCTGGGGAAAAACTGAGTGGAAACCCAGAGAGGGAGACGGCCATTACCTGCAACACTCAGTGTGGACGGGGAGGTGGAGAATCAGGTGGTGATCCTGGCCGACACCTCCAGCTCCAGTGCCGGCTCCACCTCCTCTGTCCCTGTCACCCAGGAGTGTGGACAGTCTGACCACCTGAGCTATGGTGTAAAGGCCAAACTGCGAAACAAGGGTTCTGTTCCTGATGACGGAGCATCTGGTGACACCTGGGTCCAGCCATACCTGAGCTCCATACAGACCTCAGAAACTTGCATCAGTACAGAAGCCTGCTGGAGGTGAGGCCTTGTAGCTTGCCGCTGAGAAGGGCACGGTAACGCACAGCTCTGGCCAGGTGCTCTGCCTCCACCTTGGTGGTCCACCCAGAAGGGAAAGGAGGTGGACACCACTGCCCGAGCCGTGGAGGACTGGACAGGGAGCCCTCAGACTCCACCCCGCTCCATTCCAGACCCAGCGTCGTCTTCTCACGACTGGTAGGCACTGACCGGCAGAGTGGTCCCCCACCCACAGCCCAGGCCCCTCAGGGGTCCGGGCACCACCCCCTGCCCGCGTGGGAGCTGGGAGCAGTGTGCTGTGTGGACGTGCCCCTTGACCCGGCCATGGCTGAGTGGAGGGCGGCATGTCTGCCCGCAGTGGTGCACGGTGGGGCCTATGGGACAAGGTCAGGGCTGTGGTCGGGATGGGGCCCTGAGGTTGAGTCCTGCTGGGTCAGGAGCCGAGGGGCGAGACTGGGACGGGAGAGCCTGGGTGACACCTTGCTCCACTTACTCCCACCCTGCCAGAGCACGTGGCCTGTGCGCTCTGCAGCCACCACACCCGCGGGCGGGACAAGCCCCACTCAGCGCGGGTGCAGGTGTGCCCACTGGTGCATCCCGCCTACCTCTGCAAGTGACCAGGCCTACCTCTGCACCCCCCACTTGCCCCCTTCCCACATCCCCCCAGCCGTGGGCAGATGCAGGGCAGTGGCCTCCACTTGGTCAGCCGCCTCGGACTTCCTCTCTGACCATGGATTGGAACAACGCCATTTCCAGGTAACAGGGTAGAGACAGGTCCAGCCAGCGGGCTCCAGCAGCCCCCAGGCCTGGTGGCCCGCAAGCTGCTCTGCACCCCGTCAGGCAGCACTTGCCCACCCAGGGCATCCCTGTGGCAACACACCCACGAGAGCAGGGCTTAGAAAAGGATTTTTATTAAAACAAAAGAAAAATCAGTTTGGTGGGTCGGATCTCAAACAGACACACGAGGGTTTTACACCGGAGCTCGGGGCTGGAGGGCTCCCCGCCAGCCCCAGGCCGAGCAGGCTCCGTGCTGGGCATTCCTCCACCCCTCGGAGACGTGCTGCTGGAACCCCTGAGGACGTGGCAGATTGGCGGTGGGAGGTGGAGCCAGGGCTGCAGCTTCCCCTGCCCGCTGGGCCCTCCCAGGGTCTGCACCCTCAGGACGCAGCACCGAAGGAGACACCCCGCCTGCTGGGACACCGTGAGCCGTGGCTCGCCGACTCCGTGCTGTCATGAAGGAAGCAGCCCCTCCTGTGTTCCAGCTCCGTGGAGACACCTCTGCTGTGGAACGCCGTCCTGCACGGGACCCGGCGAGGGGCGGGCAGGGTGGTCACATGAAGCCGTGCAGCTCCGCCTCCAGCGCTGCGGCCATCTCGTCGGCCTCCGAGCTGCTGCCCTCCTCCTCGGCGCTGAACCCCGGGCTGGACTCGCTGGCCGCGTCCGCCTCGTTCAGCTTCCTCTTGTGGCCCCTAAAGAGAAGCAGACTCGACGTGAGGCCAGCAGGTGCGTTACTGCGATTGCTGTGCCGCTGCCCTGAGGCCCACACTGCACGGGTCAGGAGACGGTCAGGGTCGCGCAGTGGAGTGTGTGCCCAGCCCTGGCTGCTCCACGGGCCTGCCACATGAGCATGCCCGCTCTTCACTGCCTGGCGCCACAGCCCACCTCGTGTGTGGACAGGCCGGCCAGCCGCCCGACTTGGTGACACGCGAGTTCCCATGATGCCGTCCCAACTGTGCTCAGGGTTCCAGGACACTGGGGTCACAGAGAGGGAGTGAGGCCTGCCAGGGAGCCAGCGCCCTGTGCTCCAGGCCAAGCCGCGAGCAGGGGTCCCCAGGGCAGCCCGTTAGGGAGGGCTCTGTGGGTGCTCTCTGGGTGCCAGTGCCCAGCGTCCTGACCGCGGGTGGCGGGAGGCGCTCCTTCAGAGGAGCGACAGGAAGGTGGCCAGGCATGCTGGGAGGCCGAGCTCCTGGGCCCCAGCCTCCCCATTTCCTTCTGTTTGTTTCTGCTATACAGCGTGTGTGCCTGCCAGAGACAGAGAAGGAGAGAGACCACCCGTGGGGAGTGGCCATGCCGAAATCCCGCCTCCATTCTCTGCTTGGGATCTTGGGCCCACATGCATTATGTGCCTGGCGTGATGTTCAAGTCGCCAGGTCTGGGATGTGGACCACATGGTCCACGACATGGGAGTCCACGCCACCTGCGGCCCGTGTCCCACTTTCTGATGTGGATGTCACCCACAGCCAAGGGCGTGCTGAACTCCACCGGAGCTGGGGGAGCCTCCTCCTTGGCCCCGGGGCAGTGCAGCGTCCGACCTAAGCACAGCGCAGCCCAGCAGCTAGAGCAGCCGGCCATGCCAGAGCGCCAGGCAACCCCGTGGCCACCCTCCACACCAGGTCAGCACGTGTCCTCAGACAGCCACTGACACCCATGGCTGTCGGCTAGAGCAACGCCCGCGCTTCCCTGTGACCAACGTGTGCTGATACGGGTCACCACATACCACTGCGGGTCGCCTGTGCCACGCTGGCAGACTCGAGACATCCTTGCCCCCTCTCACGCTTACTTCACAAGGAGACTCGCCCTTCCCCAGGGCCAGGACTTCCAGTACCGTGGCTGGGCACAGGGCCAGCAAGGGGTCCCGCCCTCCCCGGGCTGCAGTCCTTGGCTGGCCCGTCCAGAGCTGAGGCCCTTGTGGGCCAGGCCGTCCTGCACCTGGACCAAAGCGCCGTAGCCTGAGTGTTGGGGAGCACGTGTGGGGTATGTCCAGGAGGCAGCCAGTGGTGCAGGGTGAAGGCAGCTGGTCCCGCGTGGCCAACTGTGGTTTGAGTCCTGGACTGGCAGTGTGAAAACTGCATGTGTGAGTTCTTTTTTTTTTTTTTAAATGTTAAGATTTTATTTACAAAGCTTTTTTGTTGTACAGAAAGTAAAAAATGCTGTCATGACCTGGAGGTACCTGGTAGCCACAGGTGTGGACTCACCAATCACAGCCATCTGTGCCGCACGAGTCTCACAAGACAACTAACAACGCTTACGACCTTTGGGGTGAAGTCCCCCAGCTGGCGGGGGTCACCGAGACGAACTATGTGGAGGAAGGTGGGACGCCACTGCTACGCTTCGCTCTCTGGGTGGGTGGGCGACCAGGGAGGGCTTTGTCCGGCCAGCACTGACCAGCCGTGGCTGCAGGTCCCCGGAGGCCTTTGCCATCTTCCCCTCACCAGCTCCTCCTCACCCTCCACTGTTCCTCCTCTGCTCCATCACGTCCAGACCTCCTCCTCTCCTTACGCTGTCCCTTTGTCCACACGGCCGGCCAGGTGGGTCAGCCGGGGCAGCAGCCTAGAGACAGTCTCTCGGGCCCTGCGGGTCAGTGAGCTCACGGGCGAAGACCCAGGCTTTTCAGATACCCCAGCTTTTCCACACATCCCAAGGCACTGCCGCCTTTCAGTTTGGCCCCACTTAGGTCCAGGTGTGTGAGACGAGTTCTCGGCCAGCATGTCCAGGCCTCCACGGACTCTCCTCACTGAGCTCAGGCTTTGTCAGTTGAGGTAGCCGGGGAAGCCCTGAAACTGCATCAAGCCTACGTCTCTTAAACCGAGGACCCCCAGTTCACAAATCCTACTGCCAAGCCCTCAATTTTCCCATCACGTGATTTGCTGTTGTCCACGTTCGTGAGCCATCCCAGCCACCCCATGCAGGCCCCCTGCAGTGCTCGGCCGTGTGCAACAGCACGGAGCGAGCAGGCACACGGGGAGGAGCTGCTGGAGTACGCACGGCCTCGGGGAGAGCCCGAAATTCTTTTTTCTTTTTTTTTTTGGAGAGGTTTTTGATATAGGGCGCGTGCGCTCACCAGAGAGAGTGAGCGACAGAGAGACAAAGCAAGAAATCACCCCTGGGGGGGTGACCATGCCACAATCCCTTCTTCTCCATTCTCCTCTCGGGATCTTGGGCACATACACACACGTGCCCAGTGTGAGTTTAAGCCACCGGGTCCCAGTGGTGAGTTTAAGCCACCGGGTCCGGGACTCGAACTGCCGTTGACTACACGGGAGTCCATAGCCATTACGCCAACTGCTGGTTCCGAGAGCCCAAAATTCTAAGAGGATGGAAGAGAGGGGACCGTGGCATGCCCATTCTCTGGGGGATGACATCTCACTCCCCATCTCTCTGGCTAGGGCATGCACCCCACAGCAAGCAAACACAGATGTGTCAGGACAGGACTCAGGACAGGACACAGACGAGTACTTTGGGGCCTTCTGCTTTTTAAAAAAGTACTTTTCCATCAGCAAGTGAGACAGAGACAGAGAGACACAGAACATAGTGAGACAGAGACAAACAGAGAGCGCGGGGGCCCCTGCAGGGTCCTGGCACTGGGATGCCCGCCCCCGGCTTGGCAGTCCGTGTCCAGGGCATGCGTGTGCCCAGTGTGCTCCGGAAGGTCCCTGGACAAACCCACAACCTTGCTGTGGGCGGGCTCGCAGAGCACCACGTGTCTGGCGGCGTTTCTGCACCCCACGGTGTGACCCCCAGCACGTTCTCTTTGCTGAGACTGAGGGCACGGGAGTGCGGGCTTCTTGAAGTCACACCCTCCGACACGGGTGCTCGGCTGCACGATGCACATGGCGCCCTGCGACCCACCCCTCCATCCATCCTGAGGAAGCTGGTTCCCCTCTCCGGAGGAGGCTTCCCTCCAGCCACATGCCTTGTGGCAACTCAAAAGAACACAACGCGGCAAGGTCATCCTGGGAACTGGCAGCAGGGGCACCTCCCACGCCTTGGAAAGGTGCAGCCGTGGAGGAGCTGGGACAGGTGCGTCAGAAACCCCAGCGCAGGGACTGGGCTGGACCTGACCCTGAACGAGGAGGCTGAGGCCGGGAGTGAGGGGCCTGTCCACCACTGCCGGCCAGTTCTCGGTCGTGCTCAGCACGGTCTCTGAGATGAGGGGCCAGCTTGGTGCTGACGCCCTGCTCAGGTCCTGAGGGCTGGCGGGAGCCGTCAGCTCGCCCTCACTGACATGCTGGGTCACAAGGCCAGGGGCCCTGCAGGGGATGGGGTCTGAGCTGGGCAAGGGTGAGATCTCTCACGGACCATGTGGTGAGGGCACAGTGACCCTGGCAGGACCCGGGGCTCAAAGAGCAGCAGGAGGGCCGTCGCGGTCACATGTGCCAGCACTGCTGCTCCACGGGCAGACGAGGCGGGGTTCGATTCTCCCCTCCCCCGAGAGGCGCAACGGCACAGGCTGCGGCCCCAGCCACACAGGGACACGGCGACACCCCAGAAACACACACAGCACAAAATCAACCAACGAACTGACGGGGTGTCACAGCAGACAAGCACTCCGATGAGACCACAGGGAGGGGCAAGAGGGCAGCTGTCACCCTAGTCTGTGTTCAGCCAACACCCTGTTCTCCTACAGACGGGCAGACGTTAACAGCCACTTCTGGGGAAACGGGCGCCTTGGCGCGCCTGCGCTCACACTGGAATGCTGTCCGCACCGGCCCGTCAGGACAGTGTGCCTGCGTGTAGGAGCCCTCACAGTCAGGGCGCAGCGACCCTGCAAGTCCGGTGACCCGTACCCTCTCCGATGCCCCCCCCACGGCACTGGGAAGGCAGGGACCAGAGGAGTGGCATCGTGACCGGCCCACAGCTCTCCTGAGCTTCACCTACCACTGAGACGTGACGTCCCGGCTCTGCACGTGTGTTGTCGGACAGACACACTCCAGCACGGCAGGACAGCGTGTTACTAATGACCTTAGGCCTTAAGTTAAAAAGATGGCAGACCTAAAGGCCGAAATGAATGACGCTGAGTGTTCGGCTTTACTTCCCCCGAGTGTGGGGGTCCCCCAGCAGCATGGGGTGGGAGGAGCCCCAGCCCAGTGACGGTGCTTCTCTACGGCCCCGCCTGGTCTGAGCCGTGTCGGGGCCGGGTCTGAGCAGGGTCGGGGCCATGTCGGAGCTGTGTCGGGGCCAGGTCTGAGCCGGGTCTGAGCAGGGTTGGAGCCGGGCTGGATCCTCCACTCCCACGACCCAGGCTGCGGTCAGGATCACGGTGAATGTCCTCCCCTTGGTCACAGCAGCAACCACCCGGCTGTCGAGGAACTTTCAGATCCCACCACGAGCTGAGACTAGCCCGGGAAGTGACTCCGTGCTGATCTGAAAGGCCGACTGACACGCGTGTGCCGAACAGCACCGTCTTCCTGGAGCCCCGTGGTGGCAGCTGCCACGCTGGGGCAGCCTGGCGCCCAGCGTCCATCTTCATACAGTGTGGCTTAACTGCCCGCCCTGAGAAGGGGACGTGAGGCAGAAACGGAGCCTTCCTCTGACCTGGCCTCCAACCCCGTCAAGGTCAATCGACTTCTCGGCCCAGTTAGATGCTGCGTGGAGAATACGACGACTTGGAATCGGACTTCCCACTCGCAGTTCTGAGCAGGAAGCAGTGGACTGGGAGGCAGCGCTTCGATAGAGAAAGAAGCTCCAG